CATCAAGTGTTAAGCATGAGGAAGCTACTAAGTACATTTCTTCTGTGTAAAACCCGAAATTTTACTCTAACATTTTCAGGCCCAGCTTCGACACTGTATGTCCAAGCAAGCAGAGGTGCTAATTAAGGGGAAGCGGCAGACAGAGGGCACGTTACACAGCTTGAGAAGACAAGTGGATGCTTTAGGGGAACTGGTCACCAGCACTTCTGGAGACTCCACATCGTCACCCGGTCTGTCTCAGACAGAGTTTTCCGTGGCCGAGGATGCTCAGCCTGGACCAAGCCAAGTAAGAGGAAGCTCTGTTGTAGACATGGAAAGTCCCTGAAAGCTTTTGGGTCCCTAATCTAGATAGAGGAGACTCAGAAGGCCACAAATGCCACCTTTAGGTCTCCGGAAAACTTGGCTTAAGACAGATTTGCTTTTTCAGAAATGGTCCCTGGGAAAACTGGAACGGTTTGGTTGGTAGACCTAGAAAGAGGACAAGGTGATGGCTTAGGCTTAGGGAGTGGCCAGAAATTGGAGACTGGATGACCTGTCAGGGACGTAGTGAATTCTCCTGATGTTCCACACTGGTGGAGTTGCTTGTTCTCTACTCTGTGTCTGAAGGGCATTTAGGCTGTGCAGCCCGTGTGAGCCTGGTTCAGCCTGTCCATCTCCCTGCATCTTGGGGAAGGACAACTGGCTGTGCCTACTGTTCCTCCTCAGCACAAGTTTGAACCCAGACCTCTTACTTAGCCCAGGGTCTCTACAACCCGAGGTTCACAAAGGCTTTCTGTGTGAGACCTCGACAAGGTTAATGATCGTTTAGGAGGAATATGAACTAGACTCATGCAATCGGTCAGTAGGGACCCAGAGATTGGTAATAGCTACCACTTTTGAGTGCCTACTGTGTGCGTGTACTAAGCACTTTACAGTATTATCTCATGTAGTCTTTGTATCGTAGGAGGTAGGAAGTATGCCTTTAATAGATGAAGAAATTGTGTAAAATGAAAAATGTCATAGCAAAAGATGAAACCAGGACTTTGGGGCTCATCTGTCACCACCACAGAGCAGTATATGGCTGAGCCACAAGGAACATTCAGAAACAGCTGCCTCTCTTGTAGGCACACAGCTCAGCAGCAGCAGAATATGATTACCTTAAAACCTATCGTGGGACCAAGTCAGGCACAGGCCAAAACTACCATGGGCCTCAGGGCAGGTCTTAAGAGAGTGTCAGGAGGCACCGAGTATTGGAAGGAAGGTGGGTTTAGAGATAAGACAGCCTGGAGTAGTGGGTACATGGGGGTTTGGGTGCCAGGTTCAATTATCAGCTCGGGGTGGCAGCCCAAAGAGTTCAGGTGCTCCAGATGCAGGAGAGTAACAGAGGTGTTAGAGGTGCAATGGGTAGGGGGGAGATTGCTAGAATTCTTTTGGAGTCTGGGGTCATAATCCAGATATATGGGATGAAAGCCTAAACTAGGTTGGAGTTAGGGGCTGGCTTCTGAGCTGTGTCTTCATCTTCCTTCTTTTCAGAGCTCCTTCCAAGTACTACAGTGTCCGTCACCATTACTAGACAGTGACCGACACTGACGCCATCCCCAACTCCTGCTCGTGGGGTACATGTTACAGAGTTCTTTTAACTACCACTTTCAATTGGAACATGCTGAATTCTCGCTTATCCTACAGTCAAGTAGCCCTTTAACTTTACTCTTGGATAATTTTGTACAGTGGTTCATCTCAAAATATTTTTCCAAAGAGGTAAATACCTATTTTACCTGTTAGCCATAGTGCTGTCCCTTAGTTCTGTTCACTGAACACTTGTTTTTACTGTTGCAAGAATGCATCCTCTTTGTGTTCCTGCAGGAAAAGAACTGCTCAGCCAGATGAGGAAATCTCTGAGGAAACCCCTTCTCTACTACCTCCCTGCAGGACTGGAACGCCACTCGGTTTCACTCCAGATGCGGTGAACTCCAATGCTGCACCTCCGCTGTAGCTCAGCTCACTGTGCTGAATGCCAGGGTTTCTGTAAATCACATGTACATATGGGAAGAGTTGTATACAGTTTAAACCTGGATGGCTGGGGGGGGTTTTTTACTTTTGCAATGTGTTGTCATAAAACCAGTGATTGTAATTGCAAATTTGAGGCTATAAATTGGTAAAATCTATAGCTACAAAGAAAAAAAAAAAATGTACTCAAGCCCTTCATTTATAGTGTCAAATTTTATTTTTGAATTTTATTTAAAATCTCTATTTTCATATGAAAATAAAAGATAAAATAGTCTGTCATCTGACTTTACATTTCATAGATCTACAGTAAAGCCATCAAACATTTACCTTCGTTCCAAGAAAACGGCAATTTCCAAATGGCTCTCCATCTTTGGCCTGGAGATTGAAGTATGTTGTATCAGTGAACCTACACCACATGGAAATAGCTTTTATAAAACTACTACACTTGAGGTGCTTTTCCTCAACCAAAAATATTCTTTGGTGGAAAATTAGCAGAAATCTGACCCGGTGGTAAATTCAAATTGCGTTCGACTTTTAAATCTTTGAGCTACTGTAATTAATGGCTCCGCTCCATGATCTACAAATACATTATTTCTCTAAAAACAAGAATAGCAACTACTGTCACAAAAGACCATGTGGCAATAGACTTCTTCTCATGGGTAAGAGGAAGTATGAAACTACATGTTCTAGATTAGGTTTTAAAATACTCCCAAGGCCTGTTCTCTAGGCCCGTAGATGGCTTCTGAACCATAACCATAAAGAATGGTGCAGTGCAGTCATCCCTCTCCACCCACGGAGGTTTGTATTCCCAAGAAGTTGTTTCACCAGACCTGGACCATTAAGGTATGGGATAAACAGAATTACAGTAAAGGCAATGGAAGTGGTAGAACACAGCAAATTCTAGAAAACATCTACTTCCAAAATAAAAATTGGTTTGTGGTGTATCTTTCGTACTTAACATTCTTTCATTTTCACAGGCCTTAGCAAAATGCTGAAAAGTCAGGCCTCTGCACAATTACTGAAATCCCTCAGGGACACTTTTTCCCACCCATTCTGTCCCTGTGCTGACTGAGGGTAAAATATCTTCTTTCTAAACTGCCACATGAACCCTCTCTATTCCCGTGGACAGGAATGGAAGGTAATCATTCGGTCTTCTGTGTAAGGGGGAGTGACTTGAACCAGACATCTATACAGAAAGATAACACCTGAAACAATGGATATGTGAGCAAAAAAATTCTCAAAAAAAAAAAAAAAAAACACAACTATAGTCTGGAATCAGGGGAGGTAACTAATATGTGAAGCCAAACACCTGGTTCCAAAAAAGACATCTTTCCGAAGAAACTTTACTACCTCTAGTATTATGTGAACATCACCACCAAAAAAAATTTTTTAATCAAAGGTTACTGCATCAAACACTTTATTATCCATGAAAAACACTTGAACATCGCACTGGAATATCTAACCCATAAAGAGTACTGAGCACCAATTTACTAATCAAGAGGGCCTCCTCACAGGTGCAAGGTTAACAAGTAACCCAGAGAAGCAGGTGGCCCCACAAGTAGTAAACTCTCATGGATTAAAGATTAAAAGAACTTCACATTCTCTCCAACGTGTACTTGCCCAGTGTCTGGCACAGGTATGTTACAATACGACAACTTGCTATTTTTGAGCACCCAAGTTTATTACAGGGGATTACACATGCAAACAACAGAATTTGGCCCCAAGTACAGTCAAGGGAGAACATTATCAGGCACCAAGTGTGCTGATCTCACACTGAAAAAGGTCTACTGAAAACATTGCAAGTGTGATCCAAACACAAGGACAAAACTAAATCAATTACTGAGTGATGTGGAGGTATATGCTATATACGTAGACTTCTCTTTATACAGTAAGGACAATTCTCCAATAAAAACTGACAACTTCTGCCAAATAATTGTTTGCCTGAAGAAAATATGAAATCCTATTGTAGTTCAGAAAATAATGCAAACCATTTTAATTTAATCTAGATACAGGTACTTTATTTACAAATATTTAGATTAATAGCATTTTGTTACATCAAATGAAGAGTACAGCAGTCTGAATAAATCCTGTCACAAAAACAATTGAGACCCACTGTAACTAACTTTGGGAATCAGGGTATTGCACCTAAACAAGCCGCAGTTTTTAGTCTGTGATTGCTACCTTATATCCCAATGGGTGGTTGGTTTTTTGTAAATATATACACACACCAGCAGGTCATGGTCCCTGGGTGAGTCCCTTGTGAAGCAACAGGGTAAGCAAAATGGGTCACTGAAAGTCTTTAACAGAATATACCAATCTACTCCAAGAATCTTGTTTTTAAAAAAGTTAAAGACAAAAATAAAGATGAGTCCACAAATTAACCAAATCCTATTTTCTGCACATTCCAGTTTTGGCTTTTATTTAACAATGACTATACAATACTCCAGTACTACCACATGTTTACAACCCAGAAAGCCGTATTTTTTATTTTTACTTTAGTGTCTGTAAAGAGGGATTTAAAATGTGTATTTTAAACACAGCAGTTGAGCTGAGTGATTTTATAGAATATACTAAGGTTTACCTATCCTACTTCAAATAACCTCAGTTCTCCATCTGAACCAGGAACTCAATCAGAAATCAATCAAAAGAAGTGAAGAACTTGGTAAAACATAAGTCTGTTGTCTAAAGAGATTGTTTCCCTTGCAATACAGTATTCTTTCAGTGGCCAAACCACCTAGTGCAAAGTAATAACTTACTTTGTATCAGCACAAACACTGAAACACCGTCAGAAACACTTTCCCTTTTACAAAACAACTTATGCCAACATGACATAAAATAGCCCCTCATACTACAAACACATGGGATATCTTACATTACTTCACTGTAGTGTTAAAAATGCACAATTTAAAATCCCTTAACAGCAGACCTGCGGTTCTGACTGTCCGGTACACAATCTCACCATTCCAAGAAGATAAAGGTATAAAAGCTTAAAATGTGCAATAATAAACCCAGCCTTTTTTCTTTTTCTATACAGTAAGGCAAGAAATGCAGCCTGTAATGCAAAAATGTTTACAAAGAGAAAAGCAGGTTAGCACATTGTCGATTGCACAAGAACAGTTAAGAAAATCAGCAGGTAAGAAGCCACAGTGCAAAGATGGAACAGCATCTGCTAGTGTCAGTCCTCTCACGCTAGGAGCTCTTTCCAGCATAATGTCCCCAAACACTGCCAGCACCAGAGGCTGGAGCCAGTATTACTTGTGAACTGCAGTTGTGTCTATTTCCTTGTGTGAAATGCAAGGGAGTAACATGGTCACATATAGGTCATACTGTACAAACTGGTATTTTATACTGTTCCAATGCCAGTAATCAATTTATTTTCTTCATTAAAATAATATACACAGAATGTATTGTTAGTTCGGTTCCTTCAAATTTTATACATATTTACTTTCTGCTAAAGAGAAAAGGATAAAATGGTGTAAAAAAAAGAAAGATAAAGCTATTAATTAAGCACAACAGAAAAGATAAGTGGATATTTTCCCTGTGCAAGGCTAAGACAGAAGCAAACCTCCACAAGAAAAATGCCACCCACACAACAGGAAATTTATCCAACGAAAACAAAACAAAAGCAGTTACAGAACCCATTCTCTATCAGAAGTCATTTCACAGCAATAAACTTATTGGTTACAACAGACATACTTGAACAGTTAAAGATGGGGAGAAAGGCTTAAGATATCCTCAAATTAAACCATACAGTAAGACAAAGCCTTGCCAAAAAGAGGGAAGGATAAAAATCATTTAAGTCCAGCATCAGTGCTCAGTTTAAATCATGTACTGGTGACATACCTATCACGAGGACAATCAAGGGGAAAAAAAACTCTAGATTTACCATGCAGGAGAGATTTATTACTCTACTTGCCTTTTGATAACCTGATTACATCTAGTTGTTTAGCAGTTTAGTATTGTGTTAAACTGTTTTTACAACAGAGTTGTTTTTTTCTTTTTTTTTTTTTTAATTAAACCCAGTAAGATGTACAGAAGACAATGAAGCAGTAAAAAGTACTGCTTCCAACAGACAGAGGTGAAAGGTCAAATGGGAGCTACGGCAAAGAGGTCACTAGCAGCCACAGCCTTCTCTCTGGGGTTGGGGTTCGCTGGTTAGCCGGCCTCCCTGTGGGGCTGAAGGTTTGTGTTGTACACCAGACTCAGCAGCATTCAGATCCAGGCTTCCATCCTGAATGTTCTGATAGATTTTCTTGGCAGCCTCAAGGAAAGCATCTTCTACATTCTCTCCCCTAAGAGGCAAATGACAACTTTATTGGAGAATCACAGCTTTCTACAAAAGATAAGACATTACACACTGACCTTTTGCTAACCTTTAGTCAACTGCCATGATGCTTTCAACTTAGCCACTGTCATCTAGTAAGTGATTACCAGTAATGACTGAATAAGAGAACAACATGGGGAAATATTCTCTGTGGAAAGCATATAAACACGGTAGTAACAGCTGTTTCTACAAACCCTATTTGGATAACTGGATGTGTTCTATTCATTAAAATGTTATATATTAATATATAATGAAAGTGAAGATAGGCCATTTTTGTAATAATAAGAAGATATTCCAAACAGAAGTGAGATTCCAGGATTTGTATGATCCGATTAGCCAATCATCAACTATAGTTTTTTTTTTCATGTGATGTGACATATTCGTGCTTGACCATGTTCTCACTTCAGTTCTCTTAGTACTATGGATGAAGCTAAAAAAAGGGGGGGGGGGCTAGCTTCTCACCACAGCAAGGAATATCTGGCTTAATAAATGAAGAACTCTGATGGGAGTCCTGGGGTTCAATAATGGACATGGAATAATGATTAAAAAACATTAATTATGCTTCTGATTATTCTTAGACATTGTTTCCTTAAGCCATGCTTTTTTATCAGAAGTATTAAATGAACAGATTACCCAAGCTTGAGTCCAAGATACCAAACTCAACCTCAATTGGGAAAGTCAAACACTTTTGAAATGCTAACACAATTTCATTTATTAACCTGGGTTACCAGGGGGAATAATCAAAGTACAATCTTTCAGGTGCAGTAACAAAAAAAATTACCTTTGAAATGTGAAACAGGAAGCAAAGGGATGCCTGCTTACTGTTCTTCCCACAATAAACATTACACATATACATATTATTATATGTATGCAAATATATTATACACTTCTCACATGTATGGTTCTACTTTGAGAAGTCTGAATGTAACTGAAAATGATTTTTAGCAATACTTACGTTTTCGCACTTGCTTCAAGGAACAATAAGCCTAAAAATTAAAATTCAGACTATGATTAAGACATTTCAAATTAACTCACAAGGGCATTTTCTTCGATAACATATGAATAAGAGTTTCCCATCAGCTATCAGTACTCCTACCATAGTATTTTATGAAATAGTATGTTAGTTTGAGATGGGGGAGTCTTTATATTTGTCATTAAATACTTGCACTACCCCCAACATGAATGTCAAATAGAAACACATTTCCTCATTCTTGAGATTTAAGCAGCTGGCATTAAAAGTGTCAAATAATCTGCAGTATCAAAATCCCACCTTTTCTATGTGTGACCCCAAAAAAGCCATTAAAAATCTTAAACCCACCATTTTCTTCAGCAAACTGTTTGGCTTCTTCATATGTAACATCTCTCTGTGCCTCCAAATCTGCTTTATTTCCTATGAGAATTATTACCTAATTTGTAACCAAAAGAAAGACATCTTAAACAAAAGCAACCATTTAAAATCAACCATGAAAATTCTGAAATCCAAAAATTTTGACAGAAAAAAACATGTGCGCCTAAAAAGGAAACCAAGTACCAGCAATCATCCAGCAGACAGATATGAGAATCATTAAGTCAGTACTATTAGGAGGGAGGTGAGCAATTATCTAGGCCATGGGCTAACAAACTTTCTGTATAGTGCAAAGAGTATGTATTTCAGGTCTCTGGAGCCCAAATGGTTTCTTTGCATATACTTCTTTTTTTTAAATAACCTTTTAAAAATGTAAAATCCATTCTTAAAGGCTTGCAAGCCATTATAAAACAATATAGCCCATGAGGAACACCTGGTGTGGGCCAAAGGTTATGATTTATCTGAGTAAGATTACTCAGGGTCAATGCACAAGCTCCAGGGGATCTGTGAATACACTGAAATTAAGCACAGAATGCTGTAAACAAGAACATTTCACTGCCAAGAGAAGGCTCATGGTTTTCATCAGATTTCTGAGAGTCTCTGGGACCCTCAAGCAGTTAAACTACTAGTTCAACTCCTTCAGGCTATTGGTAAGGAAACTAGTGCTCAAATAAGGCGAAGAGACTTGTCAAAGGTCACTCGGTGAGCCACTGGTAGAAGGACATTAGAACCAAGGGAAAAAACCCAAACTGTGACCTTCAAATATTGTCTTACTCTACACTAGCCCGAGGCAGGCCTAAGTTTGTAGCAACTGGAAACAAATGTCTGTGTTCCATGGGGAACAGTGTTGGTGGGAGGAGGGGGTGGGGGTACACATATGCAAGCAAGTTCAAATCCAAGGCAAAATATCACACACACCTACACCCACTTTGGAATCATTTATGTAAGTGAAGTTGGGCCAAAGTTAAAGGCAGCTCTAAAAAGTTCTAAGAAAAAAGTTTGCAGCCTTAGGGAAATAGAGCTTTTTGATCTTTATGGTGGTTTCTGGGGGCTGGGGGGTGGGGATTTATGGATAAACTGTCTCTGTCTATATATATAAGCTTATCTGATACCAACTGGTGATCCCCCCTCCTTTCCCTTCCAAACAGATGTGGTAATCCAGATGCAGATACCTTAGGAATGGATGGTTTCAACCCAAAGTGATTTCCACTGTTAACTTTTTCTCATGTGAAACTGCAGCCCCTGACTCTCCTGTTTCTTAAAAATGATGTCCAATGAACTGAAGAACCATTGTAATCTGAATGTAAACCTTGAACAAGATTAAGCAGTATAACAAATGTTAGCATTCTCCCAGTGTGGACCAGGGCCCAATGAGGAGGGAAAGATATTTTCACATGAAGTCCACTAGTCTTTTAAAGAATAAGAACACTTAAGGAAATCAATTTTGTTTTTTTAAATCACGGCTGGTAAAGTCACGATGGCCTAGTACAGGGCCATTGTAAGACAGGTACTCGAAACATCTTGTATGTCAACTATACTTCAATAATAAATTTCTAAAAAGTTAACATTGAACTGCACACTTTAAATGGGTAATTATGTTAATTATATCTCAATAAAGCGGTTTTTAAAAGATAATTTTTAAAAAAATTTTAAACATTTGCTGAATGGAAACACTGCCTCCTCTCCCAATTCCTTAAGAATTTCCCAGCTGTGCTTCCCATCATCCTGAAAGGATACATAAAAGTGGCATGCTAACCAGACCGAGGTATAAAATATACCACCAACAAAATGGGAAAGTATGTAATTTCTGCATAGAAATTGAAGGCATCATAGAAAACATAACATTTAGCTGGACCTTAAGAGATTTTCTTCTGTAGAGGAGCAAATTTTGCCATCCCAAGATATTCCTCTTTGGAATATTTATTTTAAGCTGGTTTATTTTTAAGAAACAGCAGACACAGGTGAAGCTCTGAAAACCCAAAAGTTATCCTTTAAGAGACATTTACAAGAAAAATCTCCATTTTTGTTAAGGGTGTTTCCCTCTCAGTACCAGGAAGAGGGGGTGGACTCAATCTCCAGAAACTTGTAACAATTCTACCAATTTATTTCTTAGACAAGCCCTAAGAATCTTGAAGGGTAAAGTTCTTCCTCCCTAACACTTTCTTCTGAAGATGCGGTAAAATCTGAAGAAGCATAAATGAGGCAGGAAAGACATGGCTCATTTGTCATTAAACTCCTCTAAGCACCTTCTCCAATGAGTTTTGTTTGCTTCTTAATATTTTTCTTGAAGTAACTACAGAATCACAGAAGCTTACAAGAGTAGAATGTCTATATACCCTTCACCAAGCATCCTCAATAGCAGCATCTTACAGACTCAAAACCAGGAAGTGACTTTGGTGCAATCTATGTCCTTACTCAGATTTCACCAGTTGTACACACTTGTGTGTGTGTACAGTTCTATGCAATTTCACTGCAGGTATGGATCTGTGTCACTACAATCAGGATATAGAACGGTTCCATCACTAGAAAGGAACTGCTTTGTGCTGCTCTCTTTACAGCCTATGCACACCACTCATACCCTTCACCCCCATTTGCTAACCCCTGGCAACAATGCATCTGTTCTCCTCCACAATTTTGTTTTTGAGAATATTTTATAAATGGATACATATATACAGTATGTAATTTTTTGAGATTAACTTTTTTCACTCAGGTAATGCCCCTGAGATCCATCTAAATTGCTGTATCAATAGTTCATTTCTTTGTATAGCTGAGGAGTATTTTATAGTATAAATGTACCAGATTGTTTAACCATTCACCTCCTGATGACCATTTAGATTGTTTCCAATTTTTGGCTATTGTAAATAAAACTACTATAAACATTCAACTATAGGTTTGCATGTATACCTACAGTAGGTTTAAGGTCATTATGGATATGAAAGTTCCAGGCACAGTCCCTAGCTTAAGTGGCAAATCACGTTGGGGCACCTGGGTGGCTCAATCTGGATCTTGGCTCAGGTCATGATCTCGGGGTCATGGGATCAAGCCCTGAGTCAGGCTCCACACTCAGCAGGGAGCCTGCTTGAGGATTCTCTTTCCCTCTCCCCCTACCCCTGCTCATGCTCTAAAATAAATAAATCTTAAAAAAAAAAGGGAAATCATGTTAACTTTGAGTACAATTTATTGCTGTTCCCTGATAAAAGCCAATCTTACCACTGATTACTACCTATTTATTGAATCAGACCTCTGCTAGATGGTTAAGTACAAAGCTAAATGAGACACAGACCTTGCTCTGAAGAAGCTCAGAGTCAGTCACAGCTCAGTACCTTTCCTCGCTTGTTTCTGGAATGCCCCCTCTAGCATTTACTAAAACCTTACTCACCCTACAGTGCCAGCTCAAACATACCTTCTCTGTAAAGCTGGTTTCTCCAGATGGCATTGCTTATCCTGGGCACTTCCCGCAATGCACATACCAGTTGCTCTATTTCTAACTTATATCTCTCTCGGCTCTTCAGCATAGTTATTTGTATACACACAGCTATCTTCTTACTAGACCATTAACATTTTGTGGGCCAAGGGCCACATTTATCTTTGGATACTGCAGAGTCTGGCATGGGAGGTGGCCTTTAAAATCTCAATAAATAGGGCTCCTGGGTGGCTCAGTTGGTTAAATGACTGCCTTCGGCTCAGGTCATGATCCTGGAGTCCCGGGATCGAGTCCCACATCGGGCTCCCTTGCTCAGCGGGGAGTCTGCTTCTCCCTCTGACCCTCTTCCCTCTCGTGCTATCTCTCATTCTCTCTCTCTCGAATAAATAAATAAAATCTTTTAAAAAATAAATAAATAAATAAAATCTCAATAAATATCTTCTCAGTCTGGTGAAGAAGCTAATTTTTATTTTCATTTTAAAAAGAAAATTTTTTTAAATTTGCAATTTGAAAATACAGCACAATAATGGCTACTTTTTAAATTTTTTTTAATTTATTAAAATATAGTTGAGATGTTTTTGTAAAAAGAAAAAATATTTAATTAAACTAATTTTTAAATGCAGAACTCTATTTTTAAGTGAAATTTTACTGAGATAATTGTAGATACACAAGCAGTTATTAAGAAATAATAGAAATCCCTTATACTTTGCCCAGTTTCTTCCAATGGTAACATTTCACAAAACAAATGCAGATCCCTTTTTAAAGTGACTGTTTCAGAGTTCACTGTCTCCATCTGACATGAAATCACCACCCCATCCATAACTTTTTTTTTTTAACCACAAACATGAACAAAAACCAAGTATAAGATGTAAAACCTAGGGTAATTAGTATTCAAAAAAAATGTTAACTTCTCTTCAATTAATTTAAAAATAAAGACTCTCTCATTCTTAGTACTCATATACAAAAACCCTACTAGCAAACGACTCTCCTTTTGGCGTTAGCATAGATCTTAAATTTTCTGTGTAACAGATGTTATTCAACTTACAGTATTTGGATTGGTGAGATTCCTTGCATCTGTCAACCAGCTGCTTAAGTGATTATATGTACTTCTTCTGCAAAAATTAAAGTTTACATTTGTGACTACCACATACAATTGCCATTTCAATTTTTTTAAAAAAGAAATCTCAAATAAATAATATTCCCTTTCATCAAAAATTGTGGAATGTGAACATACTTTCCAGAAATCTAGCCAAACCTCCTATTTTTAAATAAATAAGTCAATATCCAACAACTTTGCTAATTACATATAGAAGTAAATTGTTTACATTTAAAGGCACATTCATAAACAGACCAATAAGCAAGCAAGGAACAACACAGAAAATTAATGGAAACAATTCTGAACTCAGAATTTCTAATCTGAAGTAAAAGCTAAGATTACTGTTAAATCATCTATATTTTCAATCACAAAATGGGAGAAATAATACCAAAATGTCAAACAAATGATATGTTCAATGGCAAACATGTTTGCATCTGTTTCAAATTAGAAACCAAGATGGTCACAGTACTACAGACTGATATAAAAGTCACCTTTCTTTCAGGAGAAAGTTAACTATGAAAACATAAAAACGGGCTTTAAAATGGCACTTAATGTATTTGACTGGAAATTCAAGCCCCCAGATATCAGAGTGAGTTTATTCTAACTTTGTATTCTTATTTACCAGTAGCTAAATCATTTTGCGATTCAGACTGCCCTATTTCTCCACTTTCTCCAAGCAAGAGTTTAGAAACTCATAGACTCATTTGCACTAGCCAAACAGGCCCAAAGAAGGCAAGCAAATCCAAATAATTACAATATTATGTGTAGTAGGTAGAATATTAATATTTATCAGACTTCACCAAAGGGGTCAAATAAAATTTTGAAAGTTAAAAATGTTTGATTTATATACATTCACAGAACATTAATCCATCTTATTCATTTAACAGGTGAGAAAACAGAAGCTCACAAAGATTTAAATGAATTTCAGAGCCAGGCCTTGAACCCTTTACGCACATAGTGTCCTCAAAAGTGTTTCAAATTTAGCCTTGTGAATATATTCCATGAACTCCAGCTGCCAGTACCCATATAAAGTTGGATATTCCAAACACTTAATCCTTTCCCAGTGGAAACTGAAAAGAAGTTGTAAGATTCTCTTTTACTGTGCTAAATTATGTTACACACAAATCACCACCTAACTGAAAAAAAAAAAAAGGTCAAATAAATAAAAGCAACATTTCCCCAATGTTTTTAAATTTTCTAAGTAAAATCTTCTAATGGTCAAATATTTTTAAAAAGCACAAGCCGTATCACTTTATTGTTCAATATTTGTAGTTCCTGGCATACCCTGCCTTTACACAATAGATTTATCCTACTTTGTGCACAAAAACTTAAATAGCACAAATCCAAAAATATTAATATGATTTTGATAAATTTTAAAATGTCAAAGCTGGCAGCAAGAGTGAATTACAAACTGCCACCACTTTGGTAAACAGAAAAATCTACACATCCTTTTTAAGGATCAAGATCATGTAAACTGTTATTATTTAGATGTGCCTATTATCTCTGCTAATAATTCTGGTAATTGTTACTAATTTAAAATTCATAATTTCAAACCTATAACTATACAGCATCCCAATATTCACTAATTAGTGGTAATAGTGCTAAAAAAAAAAGTAAAAAATATCCCTAACTTTGCCAAGGATGTTAAATGACATATCAAACAACTGATATAGCCAAACAAACTGCCATGATCAACTCTGCTGTCAATTTAAGGAAGTATCTGCTAACAATTATAGTTAATGCCAAGAATAAAGGTACTAAAGCAGAACTTTCAAGTTTGCAAAATGTCAAGGAATAATAGAAAAAAAAGGAAAAAATCAGTGTCATGGATGCAACATGTCACTACGAAATATCAACAAAGCACCTGTCTAAAGCCTGAAGTACTTTTTTTCAATAATAATTTTATTGGGATATAATGAACTTACCATAAAGCTCATCCTTTTAAAGTATACAATGTTGTGGTTTTTTAATATATATCCCAAAGTTGTGCAGTGATCACCAGTATCTAATTCTATAACATTTTTATCAACCCCAAAAGAAACGCTGTACCCATTAGCACTCACTCTTCACACCCTGGCAATCCACTTTCTGTCTCTATAAACTGGCCTATTCTGGATATTTCATATAAATGGAATCACACAACATTGGCCTTTTATGTCTGGCTTCTTTCACTTAGCAAAATGTTTTCAACATTCATCCACTGGAGAGCATGTATCAGAATTTCTTTCCTTTTAATAGTCGAATTGTATTTCATTGTATGAATACACCCATTTGTTTATCTATCCCTTAGTTAATGGACATTAGGGGTGTTTCCACCACAAGTACTTTTGATGACTCAAATAGACACAACTTTTTTTTTACCAAAAGTATTTACTGTGCTTAAAAGGTTATGTTTAAAAGCAAACCATATAAATGTATCAAATCATCACCCTGTAGACCTTAAACTTACACAATGTTATATGTCAATTACAGTATCAGTAAACATGGTGGGGGAGGGGAACACAAGCACACTCACACAAAGCAAAACAAACAACAACACTTTAGATTGATACACTCTAAGTACACAACACCACACTTAAATTTATTAATAATGGAGTTTTTAATTATGCAGTCTTCAGGAATGCATCCCTCATTAGGATGTCCTGCAGAGAAGGCCAGGTCTTTAATATTCTTCCCACAAAACCATTTACTTATCATGTTACCAGTTGCCCGGCTATACAGAAGAGCATTAAGGCTATTTTGCTCTCTTCTGCCATGAGATTACCCAATTCCGGAACTCAATAAACTTCAACCACTGTAATTATAATCAGCCACTGTCTTTAGTCTAAGCCCACATTTCCCAAAGTGTGTTCCTCAATAAAATAAGCTTAGGAAACACCAAACTAAGTAAGCTACGTGTAAGAATTTCTTTAGTGCGGGCGCCTGGGTGGCTCAGTCGGTTAAGCGTCTGCCTTCGGCTCAGGTCATGATCCCAGGGTCCTGGGATCGAGCCCCGCACCAGGCTCCCTGCTCAGCGGGAAGCCTGTTTCTCCCTCTCCCACTCCCCCTGCCTGTGTTCCCTCTCTCACCGTGTCTCTCTCTGTCAAATAAATAAAATCTTTAAAAAGAATTTCTTTAATGCAGAACTTCTCAGGGTGCTAATACGTTAATGTGCACTGTATTGTGACTCTTCAAGAGGAAACAGTATAAAGCATTTCTCAAAAGGAAATATGCTTGAAAGTCCATTTGGTGCCACTTACCCATCCCTACCTCCCCCCCAAAAAGTAAGACAAGAGTCACACTGCTTTAAACTGGCACTCTGCATTAACATGAAAAGTGATCCAGTTCATTTTCTAGCTTAGCACAGTTTAATAAAGTGGCACAATCTTCCATGTTTTCTGAAGCCAAATATTTATGGCCCAGTTTTGTTACTTTCTATAAAGTGCTTTCAGTTTTCAGAAATAGCGAAGTTGAAATAAATTTAATCTTGCTTCATGAAGTACTGTAAACCATTTCATTTTAGAACAAAAAAGAATTTAAGTAAATGAACAATTAAATACCTCACAAACACCTTCAGATGCAAGCTTAAGAACTTTTTATAATCTACCATGTTGGATTAACAAAACTACTTAATTCCTTCCCTGACCTTATTTTGAAAAGGTGTCAACTTTAACACCAGAGACTGAACAGAGTAACTCCTCAAGACTTGCTTTCTACTGAAGTGAAAAGAACAAAGTTTGGTATAAAATATTATTTCACCTCAAATAATTGAACTGATGCTGCTTTTCAGAAAAGTATTCTTCTATTAGCTCCACCAGCATCTCCTAAAGTTTTTCTTCAGTCATATCCACTTTCAGAAAAGGAAATCAACATGTTACATCAAGTCTTATACAACAATGTAGAGAAATAACTGTAAGATCCAAATAAGCTCATTTATAATCACACAATCACAAACTAAAGAATATCTAAGTCAATAAAAAAAAAAAAAAACACAAGCCACACTGCCTAAAGGAAATTTCTTTTTTCAAGTATGAAGTCTGAAAAAGTATTAATCTCTTACCTAGTGATATCATACACCATAAGCGCTCCTGCAGCTCCTCTGTAGTAGCTTCGTGTAACAGCCCTAAACCTCTCCTGTCCCGCTGTATCCCAAATCTGCAGTTTGATTTTTTGGCCACTAACTTCAATTATTCTTGTACCAAATTCAACACCAATTGTGTGAGGACAATCAGCCATAACTGTTAGAGAAAAAAGAAATATAATATTCTAACTTCCAGAAAGCTTCAGATTAAGACCAGCGGGGAAAAAATCCACTGGGTAATTAAATAACATATTAATGCTTGTAGGCTGTAAGTGGACTAAGCTAGCACTGAAAAAAAATTAGCAAAAACACAGAAGTCAAAGAAATTTGACTGCACTAGAACAGGGGTCAGCACACTTCTGTAAAGGATCAAATAATAAATATTTAAGTTTTGTAGGCCAAAATGTCTGCCACAACTACTCAACTCTGCTGTTGAAGCACAAAAGCAGCCAAAGACAGTAAGTAAAATGAACATGGTTCTGTTTTAATAAAACTTTATTTACAAAAACAGGCAATTTCTGGATTTGACCCACGGGCTATTGTTTGCTGACCCCTGGATAATCTGCTAATTAAAAATAAAGATTTTTATTAAGTTCTTCATAACCCCAACATTTTGCTATTTAGACTTCTGACAACTATTACATATAACAAAACAATCAATGGTTTTAAGACTCTAGGAGTTGTCAAGTTTTTATCCTGCAAAATACTACCAATATCTCAAAGAAAAACAGATTTAATATATATTTACAATTACATATTGGCAAGTTATATATTTCCAATCCAATAGAACAAGTTTATTAGTCCTTCCTTATAATTAGGCCATCGAAAACCTAAACCCACTATTCTCTGGTACAAGTACACACAGACTGCTAGAGACTTCATAAAATTTACATTAAGCAAGAAAAAAAAAGCCATAAAAATAATTTCAACTGTATTTAGCCTATTAGTTACATAAAATAACATGGTCTCCTCCCCTACCACCAAGACAGAGTTATACTTCAAATATTAATCAACCAGTCCTGGATATAGGAAGAATTTCATTTAAATATTTCCAATCTATTATTATTTAGTTAACAAATGATACATGCAGCAAATTTCTAAAATGGAGAGTCAGAGAAAAGATTATTTAAATTTGACATTATAATATACATTTTTAAAAATTTTCTACCACCAAAAAAACCTAAACAAGTAACTCAAATTATATATGGTATATAAATTAACACTCTATACATGCAGGTGTATTTCATTTTATATGCACCTATTTAAAAAAATTCCCTCCCTAAAGATGAAAGTATATATATATGGAAAAGTTGTATTTAAATGCAGAGAGTACAATGAAAATGACACTTTTTAAAAGATAGGAAAGTGAATATAAATTTATTTTTTACCTTATATATTGAACTTACATTTTTTTTCTGTAAATTGATGAAGTAAGCAAGATTTTCCTACTCCCATGTCCCCTGTTTAAAAAAAAAAAAAGTTTCAAGTGGCAATTACATTTCTCAATTTTATACTCATAATTATATGCAATGATTGCTATACCCCCTACCATATTACATCACAAAATTCTGGGACACTTGAAAAGATGAGTCTGAAAAACCCTACAGGTCACTTTTCACTGTGATCTATAAACTGACTATTCCCAACCTTTAGCAGTGATAGAATTAAGTTATTAATTATGTTAGTAAATAACTATCAGCTGGGAAGTGCTTTTCAACAGAGAAACTGTTGTAAAAGGAGCATCTTTTACTTTGAACTGTTTGACAGTTTTGTATTTTTTCCCCCTTAATCCATGCATAAAAGCAAAAGATTTCTGGGAATAACAAACAGGACAGCATATAACAAGCAAAAATAGTAAGTTTTGGTAGTCTGATTGACTAGATCCCATCTCTTCTTATATTCCTTGTATTTCTTATAGAATTCCACAAAAGAAAAGCATGTGCATTATATGAAAACCGTAACAGATGTCCTAACTATACTACAGCAATTTAACCCTTCGTGAAGGAAGTATTGAGCCCACCATTACACCAAACTGTTCTAATATGAAGAATTAACTGAAAAGTATGTGTACTTTCAACTGAGTTCTTACAACTATACCTGGGTAAACAACCCTGTCTTTTAATCTGAGCAACATATTGAAACTTAACAGAAGAACCACCAACATTATATTTTATGTATATCACATAATTACTCTGAATCAACAATGTTCTCTTATCAATTTTTGGAATCCAGGGGGCTCCATGGGCTTTCATGATATTTCTGGAATGTTATCAGTGCTCCTAGGAAATTAGTACCATTTCCAGGATTAACAAGCTTTCAGGTAACCCTGAAGAACAATCAATACCACTTCAAAAGGTACCCACCATTGTACTACAGAAGTATCCAGGGCTACAGTGCAAAACATACATCGTTATCACAAAAATAAATTAAAGAGGCTTTAATTTTGCAGTAAAAAAAAAAAACCACTCACTTCTTCTGGAATGGTATGTTAAATATTAGTATATAAATATTTTGTATATTAAGTTTCTTTGTAGAACAAGAGCATAAGTTAAATAAACTTACCAATAATAATATATTTAAAGATGTAAGAGTAGTTGTATGGTGCAGTTGCCATGGTGGCACTAAAAACAAAGAAAACTGTGTTACTTCAGAAGGATATACACAAGTTATCTAGGTGATCATTGCTAGCCTTTAAAGATATAAAATACAGCATACTGATTATAAACAAAATGTTGGCTACAATAAGCCAGAGTAAAATTGCATTTTCCAAACTGACCATTATATCAGACAATTCCATTATTTCACTTTGGGGAATATCCAGTAAGAAAAGTTACTGTGGAAAATTTCAAACAAGGAAATCTTTATAAATGTGAGTTAAACTTCATTATAAACAGTCTTCCCCCTTTGAAGTCCCCACCCATGTCAACTGATCAAGTGAATTACTGATGGCCCTCCTTCAGAACTCAGATTTTACAAGAGAATGTTATAAAAAGTAACCACTAACTTATAAACACATAAAACTTATAAAAGTTATAAAAAAATAACTTTTTTTACTCTACTTTAAATCATGGTTAGCATAGCATCCAAAAGACCAATCCAACTATTTCCAAATTACTGCCAGAATTAGATAAAACCACATGAAACTGTTGTTCTTATAGACTTTTTTTAAAAAGTCAATTATTTGCAATTTCATATGGTTCAACCTAATTCAGGATTTGAAGATCAACATGTAACAAATGCTTAACTATATAATAGCGCTCTAAAAGCTGAAATAATGGCATAAAATACTACTTATGGTTGTAAAATCTGCAAGTTTATGTATTAGAAGACATTTAGAAAGATCACAGCCTATTCTCTGCCTTCAGGTATACTTAACCTAAATAATGCTAATTTCTTTCTGCTTTTAATAACTTAAAATAAAAACCTCTCCAATTTATTCAAATGAATGCCTTGAATGTGTCAGACACTGCGCTAGGTGCTAGAGAAACAAGAGGTAAATTCTAATAACGGTGGGCGCCTGGGTGGCTCAGTTGGTTAAGCAACTGCCTTTGGCTCAGGTCATGATCCTGGAGTCCCAGGATCGAGTCCCGCATCGGGCTCCCTGCTCAGCAGGGAGTCTGCTTCTCCCTCTGACCCTCCCCCCTCTCATGCTCTCTCCCTCAAACAAATAAAATCTTAAAAAAAAAATTCTAATAATGGTAATAACTTCCAGTAACATTTATTCTCAAACCAGTTTTCAGCTTAAGGAAAGATAAAAATCATGCACGTGCACCCGTATGCATGCACACACAAAGATTTGGTCCCATTTTTAAAAATTTGGTTTCCAATTTTTAAAATATGATTTTTACTGTTATGGGCAATTGTCGGATTATACAAGCCAAATGCAGTATGACTGCAGAAATTCATTTACTAAAACTGACAAAATTATTGTATAATAAGATTTAACCTGTAGAAAAAGTATGTATTTAAAATAAGTGCATTGTTGTTACCAGGGAAGAGAAAATTGTTAATTACATCACTTCACACAGGATTACATTTAACAAAAGTGGATGCCCTGCTACCCATTCCAGCTTGACATGTTGTAGCACTTTCATAATCGGTCTTCAACATCACTGAAAACTCCCCTAACCAGTTCGCTCAGGAAGGGAATTTTTCTAGTTAACTGATTCTGAACATCATCATAATTTGTTTCCCTTTTTCCAGACACTGGGGACTCAAAACTTTTAAGAATGAACTTGCTCCTGAAGCTAAAATTGGTGTGGATTATTCACCAAATCTCTGAACCAGATCCCAAACACAAGGAACAGAATAATCTTGCACAATAAAAATATTTAAGTTATTAAATTCTTCACCTGCATTCTTCCCAGAACCCTGTAATTAATTTTTAACTCCTTTTTTAAACTCTTCTTTTCCCATTCAAACTTGGGGAAAAGTAATCATTTAGTCACCTTGAAATTACTGCTTCTTCCATGCTCTTCACCTTCCTTTCTCTCTTACTGAAAGTTGCAGCTATATACACTTTGCTTCCTTCCATTTTATGATGTTAAAACCAAGGCCTCGGGGTGCCTGGGTGGCTCAGTTGGTTAAGCCTTTGCTTTGGCTCAGGTACTGATCCCAGGGTCCTAGGATGGAGCCCCACATCAGGCTCTCTGCTCAGTGAGGAGCCTACTTCTCCCTCTCCCTTTGAGCCTCCCCCATACTTGGGCTCGCTCTATCTGGCTCTCAAATAAAATCTTTAAAAATTAATTTAAAAAATTAATTAAAAAAATAAAACCAAGGCCTCAACAATCCTAACTTCTCCTTGAAATGCTCTAAAAGCTAATCATGAAATTAAAAGCCAATTCCAGTTGTATTAATTTGTGTATTGCAAATTATCACACAGCATTCATTAAATATCTATAAGATGACTAATTTTAAAACTTTTTTAAATTACCAAGCATTAATTAGCATAAACTATTCCCAAATAAAAGAGAATGATCACTTTTTCAAAATAAAAACCAGTCTTCACCTCACCACACAATTTTCTGGTTCAAGTTTCTTTAAAAATGAACCTTAAAAGCTACTGGGATGCCTGGGTGTCTCAGTCTTAAGTTAAGCAGCTGCTTTTGGCTTGGGTCATGATCTCAGGGTCCTGGGATTGAGTCCCACTCCCCTCCCCCCTGCTCGTGCTCTCTCTCTAATAAAATCTTTAAATTAAAAAAAAGGAAAGCTAGGGCGCCTGGGTGGCTCAGTTGGTTAAGCGACTGCCTTCGGCTCAGGTCATGATCCTGGAGTCCCTGGATGAGCCCCGCATCGGGTTCCCTGCTCAGCAGGGAGTCTGCTTCGCCCTCTGACCCTCCCCCC